CATGGAGGAATAATCTCACGTTTACATGGGCACCTTCAAAGACTCTGGCATTGTAATCTGTCATAGTAAAAAGCAGAGAAGTAAATAGAATTCTGCTCTCAAAATATGACAAGCTCATTATAACAAGCCACTCATAAATCTTAAAACAAAGGTACTACCATATATTTTTAATAATAATTTTATATAATTTGCATAGAATGTTTTTATTTGGAACAAAGGTAGGTTATTTCTTTCTCCTTGCCACACATAATGCTGAAATGAATTATATAGTAATACCACCACCCACCTCTAAAGAGGGCCTAAAATTAGTTAACAAATGGTTACAAAATACTGTGCAAACATGAAATGCAAAATAAGACTCTAATGTCCATAAATTCTTCTTTATAACAATCGGATTATGCTTAGATGGGAAGGAAGACACAAATGTTGTAAAAAGGCAAGTGCCCAGTAAACTGCTGGATTGAGGAGAGGGCTCTATAATGAGGTTCCTCCGGATATTAAAATTAACCACCTTCTAGGTAGACTTCACCAGAGCCTTAGGAAGAATGGATCAATGTGTGGAGTGAGCTGTCCATTCTATATAAAGTTTTAAATAGAAAGTTACAGCCCATGGCACAGAAACAACCTCTTATTTGAGATATTTTGCTAGAAGTGCAGTTACACTAGAGTCTTACAAAGTCCTAAACCTAACTGTCCATGTATGGGACTCAGTCTGGGAGAGTCTTAAATGTGAATCCCCAACAGGAGAAATGTTAAGACATTATGATTTCAGGACAAGCCACAAACCTAAGCTCTAATAATGTATGAATCACAGTAAAGAGAAAACTCTTGTCAATGGCCAAAACTGGGAAAAATTACTAACAAATAACTTCAGTTTTAACTCCTGTTCCCAACACTAATGAAAAATTTATTCATTCACTTAGAAATAAAATTTCCTAAGCATCTGTGCAATCGACAATGGGAATACCGCCACGATCTGCACGAGCAAGTCCTTCTGTCCTAAAGTTTTCAGAGCAGTGGAGGGGACAGTGCAAGTCAGAGTGATAAGAGCAACGATTAGTGAATACAAAAGAGCTAGCTATTGGAGCTGGAAGTCAAGAGAGACTTTTCACAACATGGGATGCCTCCGCTGAGGCCCAAACGATGAATAGGTGTACGAAGGAAAGATGCAAGTGGATGAATATTTGATGCACAAGAAAATCATGCACAGAGGTCTGGAGGCAAGAGATAGCTCGTTTACTTGGAAGAACAGAAAGAAGTGTGTCATAAAGCAGGGACTTGGTGGGGTGTGGTGAGGGTCAATGCCAGAGAAATAAGCAGAGTACAGATCACAAAGAGTGGGCTCTCTGAGTGATTCTGATGGAAATGGGAAATCACTGAAAAGTATTAAAGAGGAAAGTCGTAAATGTATCATGTTTTATAAAAATGTTTCTGATTGCACTGTGGAGAAAAAATTGGAGACCAAGAACAGGATCCAGGCAAGAGAAAATGACAAATTGAGTAATGGCAGTGGGGGTGGAGAGAAGTGAGCAGATGTAAGAGCTGCTTAGAAGTTGGAAGAAAATAGACTTGATCAGCCAGACTAGCATGGTCATTAAGTGTTTCAGACATTGTGGGTTTGAATCCTGGCTCTGACGCTCATGGGGAAAGTCACGTATTTCTTCTGCATTTTAGTTTCCCTTTCTGTAGAGTAGGAACAATAATAGTACCTTGTTATGGGATTATTATGAAAGATAAGTGAGAGAATTATCAAAGTGCTTAGAGCAGTCCCTGGCACATGATAAGCACTCAAAAAAATATTGGCTATTACTATTATTGAGTGTAATAGCCCAAAACTAGAAACAACACAACTGTTGATCAACTGTAGAATGTGATATGGGAGGAAAAGAAAAGGATATTGTCCAGGATCTTGCAGAGGATTTGGGCTTAGATAAATGGGTAGATGACAGTAATTGTGCCAGTTATCGATTTATTGCCTCTCAGCTGCAAATCTACCCTTCAATGCATGCTTTTAGATAAGGGAGATGGACCCAGTATGCATTTCTCCTTTGCAGCAGGCACAATTTTAAGGTTTGTCAGTAGAAGGCACTGTGGCGGGTCACTGCAGCAGGAAGGCACTTCTCTTCTGGTTCAAGTGTGCTTCAGTTTGCTTCTGTGTGCACGGCTGTCCGTGGTGCAGGTGGGGAACACCCAGTGGTGTGTACCCTCATTGAGTTTCATTGGAAGATTGCCAGGAGTCTCACAGGTACTCCAGAAGTGGTTTTCCCAGCCTAGGCCCACCTGCACCCCACAAGGATGCCTCCTGCTTGAGTCTGCAGACAAGCTCTGGCCTGGGGCAACCCAACAAACCTCCCTGTCATCATCTGAATTCCAACCAGTTTGTTCTTTCCTTGGATACTCTCCCTTCGCCCAAGTGTATTCTTTACCCCTTTATAGTTAATTCCCTATTATAATTAATAATTCTTTATATTAATCATTTCCCTATTCAAATGACTGTGTATTTCCTGTCTCCTGATTGGACCCTAACTGATGCAGTACTATTCGTTGAAATGGAAAACACAGGAGTAGAAATAGGTATTGAAAAGATAAATTCCATTTTGGACATACTGGACTTGAGATGCTTGTGGGACATGCAAACAGCACTGTCTAGCGGGAAGCTGAGTATCAGGGGTCTAAAGCTCAGGAGAAGTGAACAGGCTGGGCAAATGGGCTTAGAAGTGAGCAGTGTTAGACAGGCGTGGTGGCACATGCCTGTAGTCCCAGCAGGATTGCTTAAGTCCAGGTGTTTGAGGCTACAGTGAGCTGTGATCATGCCACTGCACTCTAGGCTGGGCAATGCAGTGAGATCCTGTCTCAAAAAAAAAAAAAAAAGAGGAAGAAGTATGCAGTGTTAAGGCCTCCAAAATCTTAGCAAATGAAGCATATATTATTTAAATGCCACAAGTCAGGGAGTCAGAGAGATAGATTTTTTTGTTAATTTTTTGTGTGCTCATGTGTCTCATCAGGAAGCTGTAAACCAATTAATTTGGATGTGTGTATGTAGCTAGAAGCACACTTCGCCAAAAGATTTATGGTGATTTCATACTGTGTATGTCAGGTAATGTTGTTCTGTATCTGTTAACATTTTCAAAGCAAAAATAAGACATGGTTGAAAAGAGCCAAGGCCTATATTAATACAATAGCTCTAATTACACTCCAAACTTAGAAGCCTGACCAGCTGGAGGCAGGGGAGCAATTAGTCATATCAGCTACTCTGATGCTGACTGGAATCCGGAAAACTCTGATCAATGTGCCAACACCCCAAGCTGCAGCACTGAAAACTGGCGAACTGCTTAAGTTTCATGTTATTTGAAAATGACAACTAGATACAAATATATTTTGAAAGAGAATAGCCTGATGTTTTCTGCTCTTTCTGGAAGTGTGAACTCCAGTCAACAAAACTTACCCCTTGCTTCACCTATGTCTCAAAAAAGTTTGGATCTACTGACCACCAAAAGAACGGAAGTTCCATCAGCAGTTTGCAAAAGAACAATTTGGAAGAGAAATGTATTAAATCCTCAGGGAAATTAAACCCAAATAATCCAATAACAGCATTACAAAATTAACACTGGACTATGAATTGAATTAATTGCCTCATACTGTGGGGAGCCTTGGCTACCACAGACCAAAACAAATGAAGCCAATGATGTCAAATGCCTTGAGAGAGGCTGCAGCCAAGAGTGATGTTAAGGCACTACAGGGGTTCACCCACTGATGTTTTTCAACGTTCTGACTTATTCTGAAGATCTTCAATACAGAGACAGGTCTTCACTTTGCCTTCTCATACCTCAAATTACGTACAGTAGGTTGGGCAGAGAGGCTAGAGAGGCCACAATTCTTGACACAGCTCAGCAATTTTATGACATTTTGTGAATTACCTCTAAGTGTCTGTGTCTAGTAGTTGCTGGACTGTTGGAAATCCATGGAAGGTCTTTTTCTCCTGAGAGGGTCCAAAGGACTGATGGGAACAAGCAAAGATTTCTCTGGAATGTAGGCAGCCTGGTGATGAGGCAGATCTTTAAGAATACCAGTCAGCTGCTCCGAAAGAGACTCACTTTGGCATTTCTGTAAATTCTTAATGCCGGTGAGGTCAATATGCCTGTGGCAATGCAAGATGACCTAAGTACAGTGGGCCCTGGGAGTGACAAAATTAGCATGTGTGTGCCTCACCAAGCCTCTGCTAGTGTTCTGGAGGACTTTAAGGAGGAAAGCAGGATGCAGCGTCTGGACAGAAATAAAATCCTGGTGATTTATGCAGTTTTGCCAAATAAGACCCACAGGGAAGAAACGGAGGGCCTTAACTGCCTCCAGCTTCTCCTGAGACAGCCAGTTTGTCAAAATGCCTATCGAATATTTGCTCTTGTACACATCCTTCACGTTACAGCTGACATTTACTCCTGAAGCTTTTTAATAACCAAATAGCATTTACAAAAAATTAATTCATGGTATTTTATCGGGGTATTATATGACTTATCATTCTCTTCACATTCTTAATTTTGTTTGACATTTTGAAAATACTATGCCTAACTCTTTTGCGTGAATTTAAAAAAAAGAAAACATAGCTAGCGTGTATTGAATACTTTTTTTCCCTTCCCTCAAGGATTGACACAAACACCAAAAACAAAAGACTTTTTGTTTAAGCTCACAGAAATGAAGCATTCTGTTTGTTTGGAATCTTAATTACTATCACCCCAAACTTACCTGATTAGAAGCTCTTTCATAATGAGGACAATTATTTTTAAAGTTAATAGATTTGCAAGCACAAATATTGCTGTCTTCCCAGAATGAATTACTCACATCCCTTATGTGCGTGTTTTAGTTACACACTCTAATTAATATTAGTACATAAAACGTGTGGGATTGATTTCACTGTCAAAAAAAAAACCTATTCTTTGTTTGTAGATGATATAAAAACACCACAATTTCCCTTCTTGTAGACACTGGGCTGCACATATAGACTTAATTTTAGATTTGGACAAAATGGAAATTATTTCATCAAAACGATTCATTTTATTGACTTTAGCCACTTTAAGCTTGTTAACATCAAACTTCTTGTGTGCAGATGAATTAATGATGTCCAATCTTCACAGCAAAGAAAATTATGACAGATATTCTGAGGTAAGTTTTTAAAAATCTATCTAACATAACTAGCATTAATTATATAATAATTGTCCTAAGTCTAATGATTTTATAAAGACTAAAGAGTAAGTCAGTTTGTGCTTTGTTTTTTTGCCAAACTTCAGCCTTCCTACGACAGTGTATTGATGTAACTTGTATTATCAAGTGTGACAGTGAACAGCTTGGCCTCACTAATGACAATTGAAATAGAGAGTATGATACTTAGCAAGCATAGGTGCATGAATAATTTTCAATGGACTCAGAAGTGCACATTTGTAATAAATATTTGCAGAAATAAGATCTGGATATATTTCAACTGGACATTTGAATTGTTTTAAACTACAAATGAAAAAATACAAAATTTTTATTTCCTGGTTAGCAAGTACAAGCTGATAAGTTTGTGGTAAATCTGTATCTAAGTAAAAATGTCTATCCCTAGATGGTGAAACTGAAAGTTATTTTTTTTTTTTTTTTTTTTGAGACAGAGTCT